GTTCTCCCAATTACAACTTATTGTTGACCTTACATCAACTTCGGGTCACAGCTCAAAAACAATTCATGTTTAATTTACTGCCACTGCCAGGTTAATTTAAAAAGTGCAGGAACAATACTATATAGGCCTACTGTTAATGGGCCAAAAAACATACCTTGTTATTCAATCAATTTTAGTACAAACTAAAAACTAAAACAGGGCTTGTGATTCAAGGCAAGTGATTGATCTCGCACACCATCACTCACCTACTGTAAACTCCTCTTTAGGGATGTGACAAATAGAGAACCGTGAGTTTAAAAATCACCCACCTTTATTAGCAAAAAAAACCCCAAATACTGTGGCAGTGCTTTCTACTAGAATGTATTTTGTGTTAACTCTAACACCACTTTGATTCCCACAGTACAGTAGTCTTACGTGTGTAAAACTATTCCACAGAAACTCACCCAAATAATCACTCGCCTAAACAAAATTAGGGATGTGGTTTTTAGCTCAACTGATAACAACAAGCTCTATAAAATATAGGCCTATATTTAGTTAAGCCTATTATATTATATTCTTTAGGATACAGTGTTAGGCTCAACATATTATTAATAACTAGAAATTGCAAATTGCAAGTGAAGTACTGCGAAGTACAACTGCATATAAATGTTCTTCGAACAAAATTATTTATGCGAGTCAAGTGAAAATAATGAATAATAAAAATATAACAAATAATATGAGACATGACCCATTGTCTATATTAGAACACTTCTCATTGGGTAACAAAGTCGTAATTTTTAATTTTTGTCAAAAAGTGTCTATAGTGGTAAATTATGGTTTAGGATTTTTTAATAAAGTTTAAAAAATTTCTATGTATGTGGAAAATGTAGTTGATTACCAAAGGTTGCAATTTTTATTTTGAAGACTGCATGGTCTAGGAAGTGTACATTTTTTTATGGGGCAAGTTTCCAAGGGCGGGTTTTCTAGGGCGAGTTGACTGCCAAAGAGTGTTGCCAAAGTGGAAGCCAGCGTGTTATTTGATCACAAGTGCGAGACATCGCAAGTGTGAGCCAGCGAGCCATGACGTCACGACAATAGATACGAGACGTTACTTGAGTTGTGCGAAGGTATCGGCTGAGATTTGTGGAGTACAATTCAAAAAAAAACTATAGGTCTAATAATGAATTATTGTGATGTTAAATAGACAATGTTAGCTATCAAGGAGCGACGTTGTTTTTCATTGGGACCTTCGTTCCTTCAAGGCTAGGCCTATACCATCCTAGCTAGTCTACAGTAGGCCTAGAGTAGGATAAGGCTAGTGCGACATGCGGACGTTGGTACGTGTTGGTTAGTCTACAAACGTCGCCTAAAGTAATTGATTTTACTCGGCAGAACGAAAGAAGGAAACTCCGCTTTTCAGTCGTTTTAGGCCCTTGTTTTTTGACAAACAATGACCTTTCAGAGGTCAAATTGCTGTCAAGAATATGAATTGGCTGCTTCGCAGCAAAAATAACATACCAGTACTGTAGCAATGCCGATTTTTCTACCTTACATATGAATTGAATAGTTCAATTCAATGGAATAACTGAATCAGTATTTTTAGCCTTGGTTACAGTTCGAGGTCTTGCTATGACCAACATACACTTCCTTGAGGATGTTCTAATTTAGAGCTAATTCGTAAATTAGCAGACAGATTGTGAGCGAAGTGCTTCATGTATAAACTTTCAAGTTTGCTTTAACTGAACAATATCAAGGTCATACGAACATCCAATTAAACTGAACAATTTTCAAAATGACAACAAAGCACTATTCCAATAGGAATAAAATTTTCACTTTGCCAGTTGTTAATTGTAATAAATCATTCAAATTTTGAAACACCATTGTTTTTATATTAGAATAAAACACTTAGAAAACATTAGTGATTTTATTTGAGGAGCATCCAATACAGTAGGTAATAACACTCCAATTACAGGATCGACAATGCTTTATAAACCAAGTCTCTTTATGAGGCCTGGGGAGTGGAATAGACCGATTCGGTGATGGGTGTCACATGACCTAACTTGGGTGCTGGATGTAAACAATGAACTGGCACAGCAGTGTTTCACATGAGGACTACTATTGCGGCCGTGCCTTGTTATTGCTGTAAAAATCATAATTCCCAGTAAACTATACCCAATTGATTGGAAATTGTACTTGGCAATTGGTTTGCTAATGCTCAGAGGACATTGAGATTTCTCACATATGTTAGGCCTAGGCCCCTGCACATCTACGGCATGTTTAGGTATGCACAAGGGTCTTCGAGCCGTTAACTATGATACGATTTTAAGGCTGGCTAAGGTTTACGAAGGATCACATAAAATTCAAAGCATACGATGCTAAGAGAATGCTAGGATAAGTTAATTAACACTATTTTGAATAATTGTATTGCCTTTCCTTGCCCTTTATTTCTCACGTTAAAGCCCCATTCTGACTTTTTTTAATTTATTACTCCAATTATTATAAATCATGGAAAAATATTGGCATGAATTTTAGTTTTACGCAAAAGAATAAAAAAAATGAGAAATACAGACTATTTCTCATAAAATATTACCATTTTCTCAACGAATTCATCGTTACTAGGAAAATTCAGAGGTTGTAGATCGCATCCACCAGAATACTCTCGCTTTTATGTATACTTTATACAGTCAATAAAGTGCGCCCTCTCTAATGAGATTAGTTTTTGTACTTCGCATCTTGCACAATGCGGTCGTTCGATTAGGCCGAGATATGTTTGTTTAAGTGTCGTAATCTCAGTCAGAATCAGTTTTTTAACAAATTTGAAATAATTCCTATTATATTTCACAAGTGTCAATACTAGCAACGGAAAATATCATGTCGGCCGTTTTTATGTGTGATAACAGAACCTAAATAGAGGTAAGGCTAGGCCTAGCCTAGCAGCGTGGATAGGCTAA